CGCGGGTACTAACATTTCCCGCCAGAACATCAACGAAAAGTGCTTCGAACGCTGCGTCCCCAAGCCGGGCAGCTCCCTCTCGAGCGGCGAACAGACGTGCCTGACACAGTGCATGGAGAAATACATGGCAGCGTGGAACGAGGTCAACTCAAACTACATCCGGCGGATACAACAGGAGATTGGCAACCAGACCCTTTCCAACGCATGAGCACAAGCATGAAGCATGAAGCATGAAGCATGAAGGAGGCAAAAGAGGGAAGGGGGGTGGGTGCTGTATAACTACGCGCCAAATGTATCACCATCTCGACTGACGCATGGCATGGCGGCTGCGGGAGGCGCCGGGAAGCCCGGCTTGTATGTACTTGTTGTATGATACGCAGGATATAGACGGGGACGGGGACTTTGGGAGGCCTGTACATACATAGGTACTGTACCGGCAGACATGGGAGGTGTGCCGCGAGCGATAGAGCGTATCTGCTCTGCCCGGCGAGAGTTGTATTCAGAGCAACCAGCAACGGATCCTTCTTGCAGAGAAAGCCCAGGGTATCATGTCGACGAGCATCCGTCCATAAACCGCCAGCGGACCCCTTATTACGGCGCCTCCTCCGCCCCATTCTTCTTGGCCTCCTCGGCCGCCCTCTTTCTCGCCAGATATCTCTCCTTGGCACTCGAGATATCCGCCGTCGTCTTGCGGCTCTTGGTCGCATGTTCGACCTTGGCCGCCTCGGCCTCCTCCTCCTGCCGCGACCGCTTCAGCGACTCCTCCAGCTGCGACTCGAGCATCCTAGTCTGGCGCTCGCGCATGGCCTGTTTCCCGCCCGTCGCATATACCCCCTTGCTCTGCGTGCCGGCGCCCGCCCTCGCCGCCGCCGCCGTAGCCTGCCTCTCCCTCTCCTGCTGCACCTCGACCTTCTTCTTAGCTCCCACATTCAACCCGCCCTTCAACAGCTGCCTCTTATCCACCACCTCCCCGTCCTCATTCACCAACACATTCCCCCCCAACGCATTGATCTCCTTTGCCCGCTGAGCCGCGCTCTTCTTTTCCTCCTCTTCCTCTTCCCCTTCCCCGTCTCCCCCCCCTCCCCTTTGCTCCCCAACAGAAGCAGAAGCAGAAGAAGCCTTCATAACCCCCTCCTCAGCAGCCTTAACAAGCCGAGCATGCTCCCTCTCCCCCCTCTCCAACATGCCCTTATAAAACTCCGCCAACCCCCTCCCCTTATTCCTCTTCCGCTCCGCCTCTTCTTTTTTTTCTTCCGCCTCTTGCATCCGCTGATTCTCCTCTTGCTGCCGCCGGTACGCGCCCGTGACAAACTTCTCCTTGTCGGCGAACTCGTCGCCCTCGGCTGCCCGCTCCCGCTGCAGGCGCCGCTCCTCGGCGATCTGCCGGTCGCGCTCGCGCACGTCGGCTGCGTTGAGGAGCGCGTCGAAGTAGCGTGGCCGTTTTTTGTTGTCGCCGTCGGTTTCTTGTTCTTGTTGGGTGTTGTTGTCCTTGGCGGCTTTGAAGGAATCGTAGGCTGCGTCGTAGTCGTAGATGGAGGGGTCGGTGGCTTCGGCGGAGGCGGCGTGTTGGCGGGAGGTTAGGGCGCTCGAGAGGTCGGTGAATTGGTCCGTCGGTTTTGTTGTTGTTGCTGTTGTTGTTGAGGAGGACGAGGAGGATGGGTGGTGTTTAGATAGGGGAGGTGGAGGAAGGTGGGAGGTTGATTTAAGCGCCTTTTTGGTGGGCTTTTTCCTGCTCTCTGGGAGGGTTGTGGATGGTGTGCTGCTGAATATGTTGAGTTCAGAAACTTGCGCTACGTTGTTGGGTGTGGTCTCGTCTCCTGAGCCGTCATCGTCGGCTCCGCCAAAGGGCGCCGGCTTTCGTAGCGCTGGCATTGACTTGGCTGGCCCGGCCTTTTTAAGGCCAAAGGAGAAAACCGGCTTGCTCATTGTGAGGTGTGGCGATCGATATACGGGGAAATCTGGGTGTAGATGTTGTTTCGCATCGCAAGGTCAGTATCCCGTGTTGGTTGTCGCAAGACGGCGACTCTTCTCCGAAATTAAGTGGGCTCAATCACCAGCCACAGCCTTATCGCACGATAAGCGCGCCCCGGCAGGCAACAGCAGCCTTGGCAATCGAGGTGTGATGAATTGATTGGGTTGGTCTCTCTTTGCCATTGAATTTCACCTCTATTCCATGCCCAAGAGTCAAGACTAAACCACCATGAAATGAGCCAAGAGGTTTCCACTCCAACTTGAGAGCATGATATCTATCAGAATCATCTAGCTACCGAAGGTACCTGGCACCGCTTATGATTTCCCTCGAAATGTCCGGACAGCCTCAACCAAGATGCTCGCTATGCAACCCCCAGGGACTCCGTTCCCAGACCTGACCAAATCAAACCAACTTCATACCCACCTTCACCAAAACAGCCCCGTCCGTTGCGACACCCTCCGCATCGACCAGGTGCAAAAACCGATAGCCCTCCCTCAGCCGATCGACCCTGACACAAGCCCACGCGGCCAGCGAGTCGCGCCCGACCTCGTCGTCCCGGACGAGGAAGCGCACAAACGACAGCTCCGGCACGACCCCGGGGACCCTGTCAAACCGCAGCTCCTGGCCCTTGAAGTCTGGATCGCACCCCTTCATCGACTTGGTCTTGGCCTTGTACTCGCCCTGCTTCTCCCTGCCGTCGGCGGGGACCGAGTCGGTGCCGTGCCGCTCGCCGGGCTCTTCGACGTGCACTTCGACCTTGATGTAAGGGCGGAACGAGGACGCCTTGTCGTCGCCGGGGGGCAGCGGCAGGAATTGGGCGGCGAGGACTTGGATGGTGAGGTCCATGGTGTAGTGCCGCACGGCGACCGCTTGGGGGTTGGGGTTGAGCGCTGTGGTGGGTGGGAGGGGTTTGTTCATGCGGTAGCCTGTGGGGTAACACGTCAGCAAAGGTGGCGAGGGGGGGGAGGGGGAAGGGTAAAGGGGGAGGCGAAGGGAAGGGAGTGGTACCCTCGGGCTTCAGGACGTATCCGTTGGTGCCGGCGAACATGCCCTCGTTCAGCATCATGCCCTCGTCCCAGTTCTGCCAGTTGAGTGCAACGACCTGGATGCCCTTGCGCCAGAACACGGCCGGGTCGAGGTTGGACGAGCGGATGCGCAGGCCCGACGGATACGTGCGCATCAGGAAGCAGCGGTTGTGCTCAAACAGCTCGCGCGCGCTCTTCTCGTGCACCTCGATCACGCCGTTCTCGGACAGCGAGAAGATGTGCGTCGGCATGGCCGCCTCGGGCTGCGTCAGGCTCTTGAACGAGACGCCGCGCGTGTAGATGCCTAGCTTGCTCAGCGCCTGGATGATTTTGGACGGCGGCTTCTTCTTGCCAGCCGCGGCGCCACCCGACGCCGCCTCTCCGTTGTCAGGCCCCAGGGGGCTACCGCCTTCGGGCGGGGCATACTTCACCTTGACGAGGATCTTGCCGCGCAGTTCGCCCGGGGAGGGCAGGTGCTTGGCGTCCTCGTCGGGCGCCGGCAGCAGGAACTCGCCCCATGTCTCGAGCATGATGGCGACCATGGTCTCCTGCTGCGCTGCGCCGCAGTGGACTTCAAGACTGGCGATCAGCGGCGAGTCGGTCACGGCAAAGGCGTAATCCCTGATGGCGAGGCACACCTCGCGGAACGACACCTCCTTGGTTAGTGTGTACCCGTGCATGACTATCGGCTCTAGCTGGCCAGCAACCTTGGCCAGCGGACTCGTGGGCCGGCTCGTGCCCAGGGCCGCTGTAGCTGTCGGGGTTTCCGGGTTGCCTGTTTTCCTTGACTATGAGCCGGACAGCCTCCTTATGGTGGCCAACTAACTGGTCGTGCTTCTTACCCAGGGTTGTCTTCTCCAGCCGACTTGTCAAAGATCGGGGCAGCTTGTCCGTCACCTTGCTGAGGCGCTTCTTCCGCTTGGCCTTCTTCGCCTTGGTCTCCTCGTCGTCGCTGCTACTGATGCTGCTGGCGTCATTGCCGTCGTCCGATTCATCACCATCCCAAACATCGATTTCGATGCAGCGGCAGCCGCGCAGGAGGACGTTCCTGTAGGCGTCGGCGCTGGAGTCGCTCGACAGCTGGTTGCCCGTCAGGTACGTGTTGTGGCTCGAGCTGACGAAGTAGCTGGACAGCGGCCAAGAGAGGTCCTCCTCCTGAGGCGGCGCGACAGCGTGGGTGATAGACGAGGTCATGTACCGAAGGAACGAGTTGAAATCCCATGGCTCTGCGCTGGCCAGCTCCAGGGCGCGCTCAGCGTCCGTGTCGCTCTGGATATCCTTCAAAAAGGCGGCTGCCTTCTCGGGGCACCAGCTCGTGTCGCTGCCGGCGTGGGCTGTGTAGACTTTCTGCAGGTGCGCGAGGACAGTCTCGTTGAGGCTCCGGACCGTGTGTACCTTTCCGGACGCCCCACCGCCCGCCTGATGGCTGCCATTAGGGAGCGGGCGCGAGCTGGTTTTCGCTGGGGCTACCATGGTGGCTTGACCACTGGTTGTGGGGTGAGCTGGCCACCAAGAAGTCATCAGAGTCATGGGCGAACGAGCAAGATTCTGGATGCCGACGTAGGTCACAAATGGCTCTAGATATGGTTCCTGCTTCCTGGCTGTCCTAGTCAGTCAGATGAGGTCAGCTCAGAGCCGTCAGGTTGATCAGGTTGGTCAAGTCAGGCCTCCAAACCACCCGCCCCTCCAAGAGTCGCGGTGTGTCAACAGCAGCTGAGGAGCACCTTGGAAGGACCCCACCATCAAGCTGATTGGTGAAACGCTCACAACCCCACCAAATGCCCAGACCGGAGCTGTCAAGCCCAGCTATAAGCAGAATCCACCCCTTTGGCATATCCACTGTCTTTGTGCTGTCGAATTTCGAGAAAGAGGAGGAAGCGGGAAAATAAAGAAAATAGTAACAAGGAAAGAGAAAGAAAGAGACCTTGGTGCGTGTATGAGGTCGAGCGAGTGTGATTACCGAGGCTCGGAGCTCCCTGCTGAGGGCAGCAAAAAACTGATAATGACAAGGACGAGACTCGAACTCGCGCGGTTTCCCACTAGAGAGATGGACTTGCATCCTAAATCTAGCGCCTTAACCACTCGGCCACCTTGCCTTAGATCTGAATTTAGTTGATACTGCTGACTCCGACACGATCGTAAGACAGTCGAACGCAGTGCCCACCTCAGGTAGTAAATCCCATCCTCCCGCCTCCTATCGCCCCTTATCGTTTGTACATAATTCTTTTTCTTGTCATCCTGATTGCCTTGAGCCTTCTGCTCCCTTCGGTCTCCTTGTCCTATCAGTATCAGATTAATTCTTTTATTTTCCTTCTTTTATTCATATTTTTGCTGGTCCTTATCTTGATCATACCTTTTCTCTACATCCACACACCCGCAGTCGCCCCTCTCCCCCAAGCTTCTCCAGACAATGCTCGCCGACAAAGAACTCGCGCCCCGCCTTGCCTTACTTCTCGGCCTCCTCAACGGCCCCCCGAGTCGTAGTCGCTCCTGTTGTAACCAACATCCGGAACATGCCGATAAACACCTTCCCGTCCGCCGTCCCAGTTAACCCCCCTGACAAATACCACACCTTGACGTCTTTTGAGCGCTTCTCCCCACGAGCCCCTCAGGTCGCTGGTAACCCAAATCCTCTTCTTCCTCGACCACTTCGCCTTCGGCGGTCTCCCCAGGCGGCGGGGACGCGATCACGACGTTGAGGCGGAGGCAGACATGTTGATGGAGGCGGTACGATTCTTAGTTATAGAGCGCCGGGGTGGTTCCGCAGAGGGCTGGGGGAGGTGGAGGTGGGCGGCCGGCATTGGACCCGGGGCCGGGAGCTGCTGACTGGCAAGTCGTAGGGCATGATATCAGCCTCCATCATGCGTGAGCTAGTCGACTGGACCAGCGCCATGGGAGCGCTGGCAGCCAAGGAGGGGTCGACATGCGACGGAATTGACAGCTGCCGATGGGAGCTCATGATGTTGACGGATTGCGGTTGCGACCAACGGCATTTGCGCTAGCAAGAACAGGCGGAATCGAGATCGAGGCCGCGGAGAAGGGGGTAGCTTGGATCTGATGCCCCAAACCAGGGGGGCAACTATTGGCCGCCGGGGGAGCTGAGCGTCGTGTGTAATTCCTGGAGAAGTACCGGATCGAAGCGGCTCGGCGATCCATCTGAACCCCCGGAAAACAACTATACGAGTACCCCTCCCCTAGTATTTCGTAGTCATACAGTCATACACCGTCTGCTTGGATGCGGCAGGCCCTTTCCCTACACCGCCACCGGGGTGCTACCAAGTCACTCTTCCAGCATTTGCCGTGCAAGAGCGACATTCTGGTGGGGAATGTGGCTGCTTGACCACATCCTAGGTGTCGGGATTTAATGGTGTATGATGGGCGCCGCCGGTGCGAACCCAGGGAATGAAATCGGCGACCACTGCTCCTGTTGCTTCGCTCTTCATTGCTCATCACTCCTTCTCTCCCTCGCCCCTTGACCACTCTTCCGCTTCCTCCATCAAGCTAGCAGCGCCCCCCCCCAAACTCGTTGGGCAGCTCCCGGCCATCGCACCATAATGATACTCTCAGTCACACAGCAGCAACCAGCCAACGTCCTCGCTGCCGCAAACGCCCCCGAGACCGATCTTGTTGTCAGAGGCATGAACAGATTTGGAGACTTGTAGGCGGGCTACCGTCGACCACGCTAAAGTAACCAGTCCAATCAGCAGGGCAAAGGCCTGGTCCAATTCGGTAATGCTGTTATTGAAGGCTGGTAGCAGGGAAACCGCCACGCCTCGGTAGCCCGCGCGGTCTATCGCGTCGAGCGTGCCGCTCCAAGTCAGGTGAGAAGCCACAACACAAGTTATAGTGAGCGCGGCGAGGACTGGGTTAAAAAGGGGGGTCCCAAGGGCGAGGTCCGTTAAAATATTGTCCCCGAAATGCAGATGCAAAGAGAGCTTTTCCAAGCGATAGGGAGCAGCACACAATGCAGCACACACTGAACTCAAGCATCTTTGAAGGCAAGCTTGAGACTTTGGGGGATGAGAGGAGGCGGGAGAAGAGACTGAGGGTAAGAAACGACACGCTTGGATTAGGGAGTTTCAGAGAAGCGCGCCGACGTTCTGCAACGCCGGCGAGGCTGGTGAAGCCCTTCATTGCGTTGTAAATAGATCAGAGTTGGTGTTGTGGAAAGAGCAAGACTTGAGATTGTTTCACCCCACCTCCATGGTTACAAGCATAGCTACAAAGCCCGCCATTTGCCATATTTGTTTGAGTTGGGCCTGGGTTGGGCTTGGTTTGGCTTGGTTTGGCTTGTTTGATTTGGCATGGTTTGGTTTGTTGGGTTCCTTGCTTTCATCTGACTGTGTATTTATGCCGGCTTCGATCCAATAATTCCATCAGTAAACCTTTTCTCTCTCTTTCCCTGGCATCGACATGCAAGTCCCTTGCATCCATCTGGCGCGCGCATGCGGCGGCAGTCCTCTACCCCCTCCTCGAGGCCAAGACAGCCGGCTTCAACCAAGCACTGCTAGCGGTAAGTTGAATGTCATCAGTACTAGCAAGAATCAGCGCTAACGAACACGGTAGGTTCGAGCGACGAGCCTGGTTTGCCATGCTTTCCAGGCCAATACATTGCCCCCCCGTCCAGTCTCCCTGCATGCGCTAGGAGTCCATGTCCGAAAGCCCGACATTGATGAGCTCAAGCAAGTACGGGACCTGCAGCATCTTGCGCGCTGTGTTGAGCACATGTACTTCCGCGGGTACCATCGCGACCAGATGCACTTTTCCGAGGATTATGATGGGCTGTCAGACGAAGAGCGTAACCGGATGGGTTCTCGCTTCCACCGCGCCATGTACAGGGTCCTCTTCGCCGGTGCAGCCCTTACACGCGCATATCTCGAGCCCCTCATCTTGGCTCCCGTCCAAGGACCCCCAGGCCTCCTCGATCGCTTGATCAATTTAGGTTGGGATGAGACGCAGGACGTCGGCAGGCCTGCCCAAAAGGACATTGAGTACCTGGAGCGCTTTCCCGTCTACGATATCGAGGGTGGCCAGGAAAAGTGGGAGCCAGCGTTTGGAGACTTGGCAAGCTGGCTTCTCGACGACATCGAGACCACCTTCACCAAGGTTGAGCCCCCAAGTCTCTATCCACCTATGGGGACTCGGATGGGCGCTGAGGAACTGGGCCGCCTGCAGGAAGTCAACTTCTTCCTTGCTGCCTATGGCCACATGATGGACAAGCTCTTCAACGAATTCCTCTCCCACCCTGACCGCGACCATGGTTCAGAATCCGGGAGGATGCCGCCTCCATTCTCAGGGCGTGTGCGAAAGGTGTCGGTCGCCATGCTTGGAATCTTCCGTCCCGAGGAGGTATCCATGCCTGAAAGGGTCGAGGATTCATCAAGCTGTTATCTCATCAACGAGCCTCTCGTACTCAAGGAACAGGGGACGCCTACAAGCCAGGATAGACAAGTTCTGGACTGCGTGTCTCCATGGACTGCTGACGTGCGATGGGTGTTGGAAATCGTGCACAGACTGTCTGGTCGTCCTAATCTGCGCAATGGATTTCCCTCTCCGCCTCCCCCTCTCCGTTTTATCGAGTTTGTCTTGGCCGAGTTCTTCAAGGCCAGGTTCAAGGATGGCTTGTTTGATGAAGGGTCAGTGCGTCACCTGCAGGACTACCAATATGGCTTTTTGCAGAACCACCATCTGTTTCAAGACCGCTCTACGGAGCATGGGGCCAAAAGAAACTAACCCAGCCTGTTAGTGTCCAAGTCTTTATGTTAGCTCGCGCTACCATCTAAGGCAGAGACACTAGCAGAAGTACATGGGTACTAAGCTATTTTAGGTAGTTTCTTTTGGCCCCAAGCTCCGTATCATGGTTGCTACATGGCTCTTTGCCAAGGACAAGGCGTCGAGCCTTGGTTATTACCGGTTCCATTGGTAACTTGGTCCTCACAAGTCCCCCACATATGCGGTTTAAGAGGTCAATACATGACAACCCCGGCTTCATATCCCCTTCCATATGCAAGTAATCTGTACCAAACCCGGGCAGTCCCTCCACACAATAGTACCATGCCAGATTCAGACTCCCCGAGCCAATGGCCATCCCGGTGAACGCCGATGTACCATGCGCGCCTTGAGGTCGTATGGACCCCGAGGGTCGTCTATAACTGCAAGTGGATGCCCACGCTGTGCCAAAACGCCGTTGCCTATCTCGGAGCTGGCAATAACGGGCCGGTTGAGTTTTACTACGACAAGAACGGAGACCGCCTCTACGATCGTCGGCAGCACGCATGCCCTGATGGCTGGGCCAACGTTCACTGCTTAAATCTCGTCGGACTACCCAACTGGTATACGGACAATGACAACGGCGCCAGGGACTATCCGGTGATGCAGAAATGCGAAAAGGAACCCAAGCGATAACACTACGAGAAACTGAACGAGTTTGACAACAACGGCAGACCTAAAGTGGCCGCGGCCGGCGTCGTCGCCTCCTGCGGTGAATTCCCTGCAGCTTCATGGATACAAGGTGGCTTCGGAGCCGAGTCGGACGTTGATTAATTCGGATGAGGCGGCGTGTTGGATTTTTGTGTTGGAGGATGGGTCTTGTTATTGATTTTGGTACCTACCTAGGTAGGTACTAGTAATCTAGAAGCTATTTTTCTGTGGATAATTTAAACTTGATTTGCGTTTGTTCCTCCTCTCCATTCTTGTTGGAAACCAATAGTAGTTACAGGACACGGTTGCTAGGGGAGCTCAACCTCCTGGCTTTTGGACGGGAGGCATCAGGGACAATATACGCCAGTGGCACGCCTAAAAATGTATACCTTTTTAACACTTCTTTTGCCACCCCGGCGGTGGGCTCATTTCCTTCCTCTTGACCTGACTAGACGTAGAAGTATCTTTTCAAACGATGCAATACATCCCTCGGAGCCATATACGCCCCTAGAGTTTCTAATATTACGGTCTAACGACCGTGCCCTGCTGAGGCCTACATAGGTGTAGTGTTATATTTTTCAAAGGAGTGATGGCTCCGAATCAGTATATTATAGTAGTAGCACTTGATAGTAGACAGCCGTTCATTGCGCCGCGCTCTCCCTCAGCCCCTTATCGA